AGACCTGACGATGTCTGGGAACGTTGTTGGCAATTATTATCTGATGACATTCTGTATAGACAGCGACGACTGTTCAATAACGATGGTAATTATTGTTTCTAACATATTATTTTACTTAAATTTTATTATTTAAATAAAAAAATTAATCATTTTCTTTATTTAACGAACAATTTATTGTATCATTCAACATCTAGATTTGCGGCTCAGTGATGATGTTATAAAGAATCTCACTCTAAGCGAATTGAGACGTTGTTGAGAAGGCGCGGCACAAGTCTTCGGGATTATTCATCCATGCCTTATCCAGTCAGAGATCATAGTAACTCCACTTCGAATCGCTTAATATTGGATGAGCTAAATTACGATCGGAAGGCTTTATTTGTAGAGCACGAAGCACTTCTTAGTAGAATGACCGACGAGCAGAAGAATGTTTATTCAAAGATCATGGACGCTGTTGATTCTGCTAATGGTGGTGTATTTTTTGTATACGGATATGGCGGGACTGGGAAGACCTACTTGTGGAGAACGTTGTCTGCAGGGTTACGATCGAAGGGTAAAATTGTTTTGTGTGTCGAATCAAGTGGAATAGCGTCTCTTTTGTTGCCTGGTGGAAGAACTGCACACTCTCGATTTCGCATACCGCTGAGTATTCATGAAAATTCATCCTGCGATATCGACCAGACAAGTCCTCTTGCGGAACTTATAATACGATGCCCTCTCATTATATGGGACGAGGCGCCGATGATGCACAAATATTGCTTCGAAGCTGTCCAAACATCATTGCAGGCTATTATGGGAGCAGTTGACCCTTCCAACAGTAACAAGCCATTCGGAGGCAAACCTGTTGTATTTGGTGGAGACTTTCGACAAATACTTCCAGTGATTCCAAAGGGGAGTCGTCAGGACATTATGAACGCAACTATTAATTCTTCTGACATTTGGAGGAATTGTACTGTGTTGCGCCTTACAAAGAACATGCGTCTTCAGAGCATTTCAGATGTAGACGAACGTGATGAGCTAACAACATTTGCTGAGTGGATTGCGAGCATTGGAGATGGGACTGTAGGAGGATCAAATGACGGTTGTGCCGCGATTGACATTCCAGAGGATATACGATTGGAAACCTCAGATGATCCAATTGCTACAATCGTCGAAAGTACCTATCCAATGTTCAAAAATGCAACTGACGATCCAAGTTATTTGAAGGACAGAGCTATATTAGCGCCTACTTTGGAGGTCGTTGAGTCTATCAATCAATACATGTCAGATATGAATTCTACTGAAGTTCGTACATATTTGAGCTCTGACAGTACGTCTAAGTCGGATTCCGGCAATGGCTTTTTAGCTGATCTCCACACACCCGAGTTCTTGAATAGCATTAAGTGTTCGGGAACGCCCAATCATGAGTTGCATTTGAAGATAGGAACTCCGGTCATGTTGTTGCGAAACATGGACCATTCTATGGGTTTGTGTAATGACACACGTTTGGTTGTTACGAAGCTCTCTCCGCATGTTCTTGAATGTAGGATATTGACTGGAGATCACGCAGGTGAGAAGGTGTTGATTCCTCGGATGAACATAACTCCTTCTGATGTTAGGGTTCCGTTTAAGTTCCAACGGAGGCAATTTCCACTTATGGTTTCTTATGCCATGACCATAAACAAGAGTCAGGGTCAGTCTTTATCACATGTTGGACTGTTCTTGAAAAAACCTGTTTTTAGTTATGGTCAGTTATACGTCGCTGTTTCACGTGTTACTAATAGGAAAGGGTTGAAAATATTAGTTTGTGGGGACGATAAGTTACCCAGTAATCAAACTAATAACGTTGTATATAAGGAGGTTTTTAATAATGTATAACTTTTTACCAATGACGATTTTATGTTTATTTTAAGAATGTCATACATATTATAATAACTTATTAATTAATGACCTTTTAATTTTTTAAAATTTTCCAAAACATGTACTAGCCCGTGCATCGCACAGGTTACATACTAGTCAACTGAAAGAAGTGTTTGGTAAATAGCTGTTACAAATTGTTTTTTTTTTGAGATAATCCGCCAATTTCAAAAACACTGCTTAGAGCAGCATTTAGATTTAGCTTTTCATCATGTAAAAATGAAAAAGTCTCCATTGGCCTTATTAATATTAGAGTCGTCCTTAATTTGGGGTTTACGAAGTAATTTGGAATAACTATTGCATGAATAATAAGGACTCCTTATTACATTTACTAATTAATAAAAAAATGCAAAAATGATTTTATAATTAATTAACTAATCTGATTTTTTTTCATTTCATTATTATTTGTAATTTTTATCATATTCAAATCACTTTCATAATTTTTTATCATATTTAAATCACTTTAATAAATATTAAAAATATTAATTATTTCTATTTCCTAAATAATTATAAGTTTAACACAAATTAGAATGATAAAGTATGTTGATGTCCTTATAAGTAGTTTTACATGTTAACAACTATTAAAAAAAATTAATTTTACCAAACACTTATTTACAAACCGCTAACACGATCAGCTGGTCAAAACAGCTAATTCAATATACTGGTCAAAACAACTAATACAATCA